ATCTAGTGGCTGCTTACAAACATGGCTTTCTCCCTTCTCTATCTTCCTGCTCCAAACAGCTGTCAGGATTTATAGCTTGCCTGTCCTGCAGTTTTTCTCTCAAATGTTAATAAAACTGTCCTTGAGCGTCTCTCCAAGTCCATTTTTAAATTCTTCTATTAATGAGACTAAAAACCCCAAACACCGTAGTTTTCTAGACAACAAAACTACTAAGGGGGAAACAGGCTAATCAATGAAGAATTAGAAAAACAAAACAAAACAAAAAACAGACTTAAGAGCTCAGAAAGCATAGCTAGCATACTCAATAGTTTTAAAAAGCAGAACAACAATTTTTCCAATGATCACTGAAGTTCATAAGAAAAAATACATTTAGGAAACCACATTTAGTACATTCATTATATGTATTTTGTTTAAGAGTATTTAAAAAAGGCAGGGCATGGTGGCACACATCTGCACTCTCAGCACCTGGGAGAGGGAGGCTTAAAGATCAGGAGTTCAAGGTCATCCACAGCTACACATGAGTTTCAAGCTAACCTGGCCAAATGATACTGTCTTAAAGCAGGGGCAAAAAGTAAAATGAAATCACCTATAGAACTCTCTTTTACTAAATTCAGGAAGAAAATTATTTTCTTTCAAAGCCCAAAACATTCATCCCTCCCACTGTAGAGATATAATAGCTAAATAAAAGACAAGAGTATCAAATAACTTTTCAAATGAAGAATATACCTTGCTAAAATTTAGAAAAACTGAAGACACTGAAATTTCAATTTACTGTTATCAGAAATAATTCTCATTACAAAAAGTCAACATATTGATGAGTAAGTCAGACTATTTTCTACCAAGAAGAACTTAATGCATGTCTCTTCTGTACCTGTCTACTATCCTAAACAACAAGAACATCCTAATTCACAGAGTTGCTGAAAAAACACAGGACACAATGTAAGGAAAGTCCTTGGTACACTGGCTGAATCACTAAGTTAGAAAAGTTAGCTATGCTGAGTTTATGCTCAGAATAAATACTACAAAAATGATTATAAAAAAAAAACAAAAACAAAAACAAAGCCAGGCGGTAGCAGTACACACCTTTAATCCCAGGAGGCAGAGCCAGGCGAATCTCTGTGAAATCAAGGCCAGCCTGGTCTACAGAGCAAGATTCAGGACAGGCACCAAAAACTACACAGAGAAACCCTGTCTCGAAAAGGGGGAAAAAAATGATAAAAGGGATGACAAATTTTAGAAGCTTTTCCATTTGAACAATCTGTGTTCTGTCTGAATTCTATATTCATACCATCTCCAAACCTACTCTAGCAGATGTTACTCAGGAACCAAGGGGCTCCATCTCTTCCCACCATGTCTCATTAAAAGCTTCATGTGAAGCCAGTTATTCTCATTCCAAAGAAGTCCTCATGTTCCAATAAGTACCTTTCTCAAATCACTCATTTTCACTTCCCATTTTTAAATTTTGAATGAAAAAGGAGTCAGGTTATTTGTCATAATGTGTTAAGTACAAATTCATTCATAAAACAATTTCAATGCAGAAATTAGGAGTTCAAGGTAAATATCTTAAACTCAGACTGCTGCAAATAATTGTAAAAGAATATATATTGTAGATATTTTTTAATTCACATTTATATAGGCTACTGCCTACCTGGTTCTCACTGAAATGTGTCTTTTATTGTTTTGTTGTTGTTGTTTGTTTGTTTTCTGTTTTTTGAGACAAGGTTTCTCTGTGTAGCCCTGGCTGTCTTGGAACTCACTCTGTAGAGCAGGCTGACCTTGAACTCATCACAGAGATCTGCCTGCCTCTCCCTCCCTAGTGCTGGGATTAAAGGCATGTGCCACCACTGCCCAGCACTGATGTATCTCTTAAGACCTGCTTTTCCCACATGAATACACACACACACACACACACACACACACACACACACACCACTAAATAAATGTAAGCAAAGATATTTAATCAAGCAATAACCAACCTATTGATCTTGAATATTTGTTCACACATTTAGACTTTCCTTTCCCATCACTGGAGGTCTCTGCAAACTCAACTTCACAGTGGGAAAGAAAGCCACAAAATAAAGCCAGAGATTGGGAGCACAAAACGGACTTCACAAAGGTCTCATACACCTAGTGTCATCACAGAGACTAAGACGCTCTGGGGATCTGCTATCCTCAGAACTATGTTTTAGATAAACACAAGCTCTAGTCTAAATTTGAGAGGAGATATGAAAGCAGGTGATATAAACATTCACGATCATGTTAAAATGGACAAACACCTAACAATACAGAAATTATCTTAAATCTCAAGTGTCACTATTTTGAAAGAGAAAATCAACTTCTCTACTGATAGATTCATACCTTAAACAGACAGAATGTGTGCTGGAAAACCCGAGGACACTATAGTAAGGGCAAGAACAGGCGAGTAATGATGCTTTCACCTCTTCAGACAAGGAGGAAGAACTCTAGATGCTCACTCTAGAACACAGGCTAGGAAGACAAGCTGCCACACCAGTGCTACTCCACTCTCTCTCCTGTCTGAATCCATGTCTGCGGTTTTACTTTTTCTTTACACTGACTTCATAACTGAATCCAAATGTTAACGCTACCGGTAGGTTAGTAACCCCACTCCTCTCCCACCACTCTCCTTACTGACTATCCTCCCTCATTTCACTCTGACGCTGGCAGGCAGTATTATGCCACTGCAATCTCTTTCAGGATTACCGAAAGAGAAATTTACATTTGAATTTCCCAGATGGGTTGGAACTTTCTTCTCAATCTTTTCAAAGCATTATTCTCAACACATTTGTCAGAAGTTTCCATATAAACAAGGGAGTGGAACCATAATTGTCAAGTAAGATGCACATCATAAAATCTTTAGGGTAAAAAAAATGTAAAAAAAAAAAAAAAAGCGTGAGGTCAAAATCATTTTCCGTAGGTTTTAAATTTTTTAAAATATGAAACAAAGGTCATCTTATATGATTTATATAAGTTATTTTCAAATCTCTAATAACATGCTTAACAAGCAGAAACTGCTCAGTTTAGATCTGTAATAATAGCCATCAGTTTGTAAAATCCAGTACTGTCTTAATTTAAACTAGCATAATTGCTGAGAAATACACCAATGGCCCCTTATATTTGTGTTCAGTTCTAGTCCTCTACATTAGTATTAGGGTATGTAAATTAACCCCCATAATGTTTAAGTGGAAAAGAACTAAACTAGATCCCCACCATGTTGGCCTTAAATTAACTACTAGAGTATTTGATCTTAGAGAACTGCTTGGTATTTCTTAAGTTCCTCATATGTAAAATACTTAATTGCAAATTTATTTTTTACTTTCCACCAGTGCTACATTTATTTTCCAGTGACTGTATATTATATATATACTGCTCTGCTGCTGCCTACAGAACAGCCCCCCAGTCTCAGCCTGCCCTGTCCGTGTCCCCCACTTCACTCCCCATCCCGTTTTTGCAACTCTGGAGTGCTGGGATTACAGTTTATGTGCCCAAGAATGGATTTATCCGGTGCTGAAGACTGAACCCAGTACCTCCTGAATGCTAGGCACACTGACAACCCACCTATATCCTCAGTCCCCAAAACCACAAATCCCCTGACCTTACTAAGGGCAACCTCTTCTTTCCCACAAAACCACTACTTAAAACTGTAATAAAATTTACCTTCAAAAGTTCTAATCAGCTCATCTTAACTCTGTATTCCCTTTGTATTTAGTTTAACACTAAATTAACAAGCATTTTGATAGGCCCTGTTTTCCTTTTTTAAAAATAATTTAATGGTTTGCTTTTGTTTGAGACAGGGTCTCTATATAGCCCTGGCTATCTTGGTACTTTCTTTGTAGACCAGGCTGGCTTGGAACTCAGAGATCCGACTGTCTCTGCCTCTCCAGTGCTGGCATTAAAGGCCTGCGCCGATATGCCTGACTTTTCCTTTTTTTAAAACTACCACATTCTTCCCATCCCTTACACAGTCTCCCATCTTCTGTGTAAATGTCCAGTGTGGTCTCCACAGCATGCAGGTGACAATACAAGGTCATGCTTTACAGGAGTGACAAGAGTAATAAAACATGGTATATCACAGATTAGGACGCTAATATGTGTATATGCGTGCTATTAATAAATTCAGGAAAACAGAGAAATACGTAAAATAAAGTAATGCTTCACTTTTTGGAGCGGGGGAGGGGTGTCATCACAAAAATGATTCAAAGTAACAAAATAACAATTCCTCAACTGCTGTAATGGGTTAGTAACAATGTAGCTGAGAAAACTTAACGGCACTACCATCAACTTTTTTAAAAATTGTCTTGCTGGCAGGCAGATCTGAGTTCCAGCACAGCTAGGGCTACATAGCATGATCCTGTCTCAAACCAAACAAACAAAATAAATAAATAAAAATAAAAACCACCTTGCTGGCTGCGGGCATAGCTCCGTGGTGAAGCTCAAGCCTGGAACGCACAGCCGGGGATTCCAATCTTACCACAGATAGAAAACAGGTACGCTATCACCTTCCAATAAACACTACTATTAACCCTGAAGTCCTAACAAGTTTTCCTCGTATGCAGAATGATGAAGCACACCACCTTTCTGTTTGGACGCTCCATGGCTGTTAACTAGAGCCAGGGAATGGAAAGCAGGGCTTTCACCTTCCAGCCAGGGCTGGAGCGGGGCAAACAGGTGATAACAGAAGGGATGCAGGACACTGGGAGTGAAGTCGACCAGACTCCTCCCCTTCTCGGGAACCAAGATCCTGTTCCCAGCTCCTCCACACAGACCCTCGCCCGCGGCTGCAGACCCAGCGCTTCCAAGAACCCGAGACCCCGCGGGCGCCTGGCCGGAGCCCCGAGTTCGTCCGGGCATCCCCAGGAAGGGTCAGCCGGGGACGCGCTCCCCAAGGCCGCCTCCGGGGCCCGGCCGGCCCGGCCTCCGCCAAAGTGGAGCGACCTGGGAGTCCCGAATAAAGAGCCCGACGAGGCTGATGATTAGGTTACCTGGATGGAACTCCAGAGACGGAAACGGCAGCTGTAGCCACTGCCCTTCTCCCCAACAACGCCTGTCTCAGCGCCACTGACATTGAGACCGCCGCCATCTTGCTGCGGGCAAACGCCAGGATGGGAAGGACGGATCCCCGCTAGGGACTCACTTCCTTCGTTCTCCATGCCGTGCGGCCGCAGTGCAGCAGAATCCTGTAGTGTTTGGTTTTTTTTTTTTTTTTTTGATATTGGGGTTTAGAAAAGAGTTAAAAAGGGTCTGGTTGAAAGAGTCAAAGAGGAAAATGGATGAAAGAAAAGGAAAAAATAAAAAGGTTCAGTGAATGTAAATGTTGCCTCTATAAAAAAGTAATCCTTGTTAGTAGCGTTGGTTATTTAGACTGAGTCTAAGAAGCCCAAAAGAAAATGCTTCAAAAATGTAAACACCTGTAACTCATAATTTTTCAAAGAACTCAGAATATCTGAGTCTGAGCCCACTGGAAGAGCCGGAGGGCTCCTTGAGTCTTTGAGAAACTAAAGTAGTACTTTCCCAAAGTGTTGCCAGATTCTGTTTGCAAGCCTTCAGAACAGGCTGCGCTCAGTTTGATGGTCTGTAGTTATAATAATCATATTTTCCACACTAAAAATCTGGCCTCGCCAAAGATTAAAAAAAGAAGACGAACATATGGATTTTCACGAAATCTGGTGGGGGCTGGGATTGTAGCTCAGCCGGTGCTTGCCTGACATGTAGGTAGCCCAGGGCCTGGTGGGGCACTTGGAAAGCCTTTGATATCTAGTAAACCTTTGGTTTGAGGCTGAAGGAAGAGTGTCTCTATAGAGGGTTGTCACTGGAGCTATGGCGCAAAAACCTCGGCCAGGAGAAGGGGCGAGCCAGCCTGATTACTCTCAGCATTTCCATCATCCCTTCCTGTTGTCATACATCCCATGCCAGTCACCATTGAAAGGAACAATAACCTAAGATTATAGACAATAACCAGGTTTAACTGCCTGGAGTCCTATCTAATCTTATCTGGCTCCTCGGGACTTCAACAAACCTTTTCCTTTCTTCCAATGACTGGTGGTCCAACCCAGGGCAAGTATGCAGTTTATCATTGAACTACATTCCTAGCCTCTTTGTTTCTTGGAAGAGACAGGATCTCTCACTATGTCGCCCAGGTCAGACATCAGCTTACAATCTTCCTCCTTCAGCCTCCCAAGTGATAGTACAGCCTTTCATCCACTAAGGTTTTCAATGTTATTTCTCAAATGATACCCCAACACTGATGAGGGACAGCTCTTAATTTTGTAAAAGTTTAACAGATTGCCTGAAAAAAAATGTTTTTAAAATGATATAGCCTTAACTTGGGTGTTTATAATACTTGGGATGATTCTTTTTAAATGTATTTATTGATATGTGTAGGCATGTGAACGTGTGCCATAGCGTACTTGTGGGGGTCAGAGGACAACTTGCAGGAGTCACATTTTCTCATTCCCAGTCATGTCACAGGCTTGGTGGCAAGTACTTACACCACTGCGCTCTCTAGCCATCTCTGGGAATGGTTCTTAATTTCTCCTTTTGCCTCAATCTTTCAAATCCATCCAGAATTTGAAGATTTCCCCTGCCTCTCCTAGTAGTACTCTGATCCTAACCACAGTCCCCTTTTGCAGGGATGCTTGCATTCACTGTCCCTCAATCTGCTTCCACATGGCAGTCAAAGCTATTGGGTCAGAAGTCAAGCAATCCCCTTCTTTTCTACTACTAAACACCCCAAGGGCTTTCTAGCTCAGTCCCTCAGTAGAAAAGCCAGAGAGCTTCTGACATGTAAAGTCCTATGTAGGGGCTAAGATGTAGCTCAGTGGTACAACATTTGTTTATCATGGAGACGTGCCTGGGTTTGGTCTTGGCACTGGAGGGAGAAAAGACTCTTGACTTCACTCTTTACTCTGTTCCACCAATTGCTACACTCCAAACGCAGCAGGCTCTTCGGTATTTTCAGTGTATCAGCCACGCCTCTATCTGAGAGCCTTTAACTCTGGCATTCTTGATGCTGCATCCTACAAGTTTGCTCATATGTCACGACCTTCACTGTTCTAACCGCTATACCTACAATGTCAATACCACCCCCAGAAATTTCTGCATTTCCAGATTTATTTTTCTTCTGTTTTGCATTTTGTGAATTTTAGCCCTTCATGAAAATTCTGATTTGTGAAGCAAGAGCAAAAAAAATCCTTTGAGAAATGAGATCGATTTTCTTTTTTATGATGTATTATTACTTTATGTGCATTGGTGTTTTGCCTGCATGTATGTCTGTGTGAGGGTGTCAGATCATTTGGAGCTGGATTACAGACAGTTGTGAGCTGCCATGTGCCACGGAGCCATCTCTCCAGCCCTGAAGATCAAGTCTCTAGGAGTTTTACCTTACCTCTGGGAATATTGTTTTAATGCTGCAATAAATATTGATCAACTAAAGATTTTTTTAACTTACAATAATTACCGAGCTATGAACTGTTTGGGGGGCACCCAGGCAGGGGGATCGGGATCCATCCCTGGTGCATGGGCAGGCTTTTGGGAATCCAGTGCCTGTGGTGTGATGCCTTGTGCAGCCTTGGTGCAGTGGGAAGGGGCTTGGACCTGCCTAGGCTCAGTGTGCCAGGCTCTGCTGACTCCCCATGGGATACCTCGATTTGGGGGATGTGGGGATTTGGGAGGGAGGGCTGGAGGAGGGAGGGGGGGTCTGTGGGTGGTGTGTAGAGTGAGTAAAAAATTTCTTAATAAAGAAAAATGAAAAAAAATAAAAATTATCGAGCTATATAATTTTATTCTCACTTTTACCTAAATGTCTACCATGGTCCATCCTGAGTTATCAAATCCTGGCCTCCAATTTATATAACATTGATTTATGAATCTTTCTAATGGGTTATTATTGCTCTTGGGTAACAGACAAAATACCTGATCTGCTCAGGCCAGGCTATTTTCTGTCTTCCTCTCCAGCCTACTTCCACTATACTCACTGGCAGGTTTTCTGTCTTATCACCACAGGCTGTTGCTCACTTGAGTACTCTTCCTTGCCAGTTCCCTCATTATCCCCCGGGGCCTTCAGATCACAGCTGTTGCTTTAATATCATTGCAGAAAGTAGAAAATGTATCTCGGACTTTTCCTACCCCCCTCTTCCTTGTTGGTGGAACCTAACACCTACCATAAAGACCAAAACTGCTGTCTGGTATACTTGCTTTCCCTGAAGAGGTCTTGCAGCTAACACATGACCATGTCCAGGGCAAAGTGGGGTCTGAAACCCCTTATGAGAAAGAAAAGTGTCTGGGGGTGGGGGAAGGGAAGGGGAGCAATGGTGAAGGGGAGGAAGAGGAGGGAGGGCAGGAGGAGGAGGGGAAGGAGAAAGGGAAGACGGAGGGGGAGGAGGAAAAGAAGAAGAACTATTCCTTACCCTTCTTTTGCCAGTATAAGGACATAATGCCCAGAAGTTGTGGCATCTTCTGAGCAAGAGGGGATCAATGGTAGCCAACAAGACAGGAGGGAGGAGCAGAGAAAAGGAAGAGCCTCTGACTTAAATGACGTCATTGGTCCAGCCTTGACACAACCCTGAGCAAAACATGTCCACATTTTCTGTGGTATCAGATACTACATCGCTTAATTATTATATCGCCATTTATTAGGCATGCTATAACCAGAAACATCCTTTCTGATGCTCTTCTACAAAAAAAAAAAATACAAAACAAAACTTCTCTGATTTCTATGACTGCATCAATTCCTGTGTAGAGTCCCCTAGGATGGGATCTGCCTCCTTCCTAGTGTCTCCCTTGCTTAATTTTTAATTCAATGTAGTTGTTTCTTTCTTTAGAATGCAAAGTCAATTATCTGATAAAAGGATCCTATCTGTTTCTGCTGATCATTTTCCCAGCATGTAGCCTAATTCATTATTCTCCCTCTTCTGACAGAATCTTGGTATGTAGCCCAGGCTGGTTTTAAACTCACCATCCTCCTACCTCAGCCTCCTGAGTGTTACAATTATCAGCATGCTGGTTCATTTTGCCTAGTACTTGATACATAGTGGACAGCAAAAGATGTGTAGAAAACTAAGTGTGTTAGAGAACACCTTTAATCCCAGCATTTAGAAGGCAGAGGCTGACAGATCTCTGTAAATTCTAGGCCAGCCTGGTCTCCATAGCAAGTTCCAGCCAGCCAGGACTATGTAGTAGTGTCTGGCCTCAAAGAAAAAATAAATAAATAAAATAAAATAAAATAAAATATAATGATAAAAGGAAAAGAAAACTACTTATAACTTTAAAAGTATAAAATGCAAGAAAAGAATTCCTCTCTTGTTATTTTGTTGTTTAGAAAAAGTGTGCATAAATTCTGTTTACTGTGATTATTCTCTCCAATCTATAGATCTTACTGATTTTCTAAAATACCATCCTTGATCTGGAGACCTTGGTGGACATCATGGATAAGGACTCCAGGTGGCTGGCAAGAGATCTGAAATCATAAATCTACTTTTTATTAAGCTTTCATTAAAAAAAAACTAATAATAACTACTTTCATTTTCTTATTTCTTACATTTCAAGTACTAGATATGAGCTGGATAATGGAGCAGAAATAGTTTGCTGTTTGGGTCTTTTTAATATAATATCATCCAAACTATAGATTATGCTAGTAGGCTCAATAGAATATCTCAATGCAAATTGCATTTTATTGTTTAAAATAGGAGCATTAGAATAGGAATTGACTTTACTTCTTGCTTGCATTTCATGCATGGTGGCCAAAAGAAACATTTAGCTTAGTATTTCTGATGGCATGTGAAATTTACAGTGGATCTAAAGTTGTCTGTTTTTAATTTCTCTCCTTGCACATGGGCCTTTAATAAAGCATCCAGAAAAATAAATTAAAACCAGATATTTCTATCAGAAGTTTCACACAACATCACCAGAGGCATGGCAAAATTCCATCATCATTTACTGGCTAGAAACTAATTTTTTAAATCACATCTTATATTTTTATTGCTAATTTAATTGAAAAACCTTGAATTAATACAGTATCATCTTATAAAATTATCATGACCTCTGGCAGGGCTTTTGAGACCTTGGCAACCAATGAAACAATTTCCATGTGTAGTTAGGAACTGTTTTTTGAAATCAG